CCCCAAAACCCCAAAACCCCATCACTATGATTTTGACATAATTTTATTTCAAACTATTAATTGTATTTATAAAAAATGAATCAAATTTGCTTTGTATGCTAATCAAAAGATAATTCAGCTAAATATCGATGTCCACAGTGTTTCATCAGATACTGTTCTCTGGATTGCTTTAAGCTCCATAAAAATGAGCAGGAATCTGATAAATATTGTGAGAAAATTAAGTAATAGTAAAAACCTAGCAAGGATGAAGCGAATTAAAGTGAAATGAACTAATATAGAGACTTAATACTAGACGAAAATGACGTGATAGTTCCGGAAAATAGAATACATAAAGCTCTTTAAAATGAAAAGATAAAAAGCATGCTTTCACATACCAAGCTTAAATAAGTAATAAGGCAAATAGATGGTGCAAAAAATAAGAAAAAGAGACTTTGGAATTAGATGAATAATGATATTCCTTTCATGGAATTTGTTGACCTTCTTCTAAGTGAACTGGGCTATATAAATGATCATGGGCAATTTGAGGTAAAATAAGAGACTTTTTCCTAGAAGAAATTAGCAGAGTAGCTATTCAAGGAATAAAATGAAAACTTAGACAAAGATTTCTTAGATGAGTGAGTGATAATGTACCAAGAGGTTTTAATTAAGTAATTAACAAAAGTTATATTTCATCAATTATATTTAACCTAAGAATATGCTTTTGTAAATTATTTTCCTGGGTTTGCACTGATTCCAACGTTGGTTTTAAACATATCGAAACCTTTCTACGTGGATTTTTACGAGTAGAAATTAAGATCATTGTTAACAACAGTCCTCATTCCTGATAGATTTCTTTGTTAATTATTTATTTATTATAATTGCTGGATGTCATAGTAATTATTCGCACCTGTATTAGCTTATCTATCATTTTTCTTTTTCTTTGGACTTACAATGTTTTGTTCAAACACCAAAGCGCTGCTTTTTGATTGATTCATCATTTTAAATCCTTTGCTATTTAGAATAGGCAAAGTAGTATCATTCGCTTTAGATACAAATTATGGTCTAACAGGTTCATTATTACCGACGAAATTTAGTTCTTAAAGTAGTTACATATTTTACTTTTCCAAATGCATATTTCTTTTTTCTAGCTCTTTATTCTTTTGAATTAATTTTTCTATGAAATCATCATCGTTATCGTTGCTAGAATCTTGCTGACTCTTCCTCAAATCAATGATGTTCTTCTCTGTGGTTGATTGAGTCTTCTAAGTCATTACTTAACTTGAATTAGTAGTACTAATCCGTGGCAGGCGAAAAGACTATTCAGAATTCACTTATTAATCTTTTGAATCTCTCAAGACATTATCGGTTTACCTTTAAAGTTAGTCTATTCTCTGAGTCAATCTCTCATTTTCAATGTTCGTTTGCAATAATTTTTATTCCATTTCCTCCTTGTCTCTTTGAGTTTTATCTACTTAATCTCTAAGCAAATTATTTGATTTCAGTAGCTCTGTAACTTTATTGATGGTTTAAATGAGATGCTCATTCATTTTCTATAAAGTTAAAATTTAAAACGCTTACATTATTCATGTCTATTCCTATTTTACTCAAGAAAACCTCTAGGTGTCCACCTCCATTATTACTATTCTTAGGAGTAGTTTCAATAATTGCATCTTTTATGCTATTACTCTTATATGGTAACTCTTCTTAAGCAACATCTTACTTAGCTGCCTGCATGATTGGATCATCTGATTATTCATCAATACATGTGCTATCAATCACATCTAACCTGTCTTATCATATTCCTTCAAACTTTGCTGGCTCTATGTTGTTGATCTGAGATAAAAAATCTATGTGATCATTGGCGTTTTTTAATTCTATTTAAAGACTTTTGACTTACTCTCTCAGTTATTTTATGAGTAAAATTTTTTCATCAATATTAACTACTGGTTTATTCTTGATCTTTGATGCCTGATTTGCGTACTTAAGAGTGCTGAAATTTTCCTCAAAATATTGATCACACGGATTCAAACAGGCAATCATAATGGTTACTGAATTTCCTCCTAAACTTTATTTCAGCAAACTTGTTAATTTTGAGTCTCTATATGGAATATAATTTTATGTATCATTTGACAGAGGAATATCACCTAACGCTTTGTGTGAGAGGGCTTTAATAACTTTTCTTAAGGCAAATAGACTCTTATTAATCTGAATAGCTTCCTTGTGATGCTGTGTTTTGTCTCTGTTAATTCCTGTTTGATAGCTTTTTTCTGAGCCAGCCAAATCAACTAATTGCAATTTACTCACAGCGATTTCTTTAATATTACTCTTATTAATAGTTTCAACTGTTATAGTAAAAATACAATGAGATCTGCTGGATGTTTAATTGAGATTATGAGAAGCTATTACTCTATTTTTAATTCCATATTGATATAGTTCCATCATTTAATTTTCATTTTCGCATTCAAAGATATACAAGTTTTCTACTTAAAACTAGTCTTGCTTAGACCATCTTATTTTTAGTCCTGGATTTTCTTTAAGATCTGCTCTGCTTGATGAAAATGAATCATTAAGCAGATCATAAACCCTTTCATTGTAAATTTGGAGAAAAGAGCAAAATAAGGTGATGTGCTTTTAATCAGATTTTTCTTTCATCTGAATAAACATGTCTGAAATGATTCTGGGCACTATTCCTATATTAGAGTCATTCTGCGGGTTAAGTTGAGGCACAAAAATGTTTTGTTTATGCCCTTTTTAAACGTAGTCGTAACCCTCCATTGTAAAAGTCTTTCCTGATCCAGTTTATCCATAAGCGAATAATGTTCCATGATATCCCTATAAACATTAAATTTTACTAATGAGCTACATCTATAACATTAGTAACAAGGCCTTTTATGTTGAGAGAGTTATAGATATCCTATTAAGAGTGAGTGTGATTGAAAACTTTGTCAAATCTGTACGCAGCTTCAACGGCTCTCTAATGAGCATCATCGCTTCAATTTTTAATTCTAAATTGTCAGCGAGGTAAAATTACCTTATTTCTTTCAATCCATTTGATTAAATTGAAGTTGATTGAAATCCCTATGCCCTTTCATTTTCTAGCATTGGTCTAATTCTGATTGCAACTTATACTTGAGTCTTATTATCGGTCATTTCAATGGATATTATAAGCTTTAAATTATTAAGTTATTCATCCAAATTTCCGTTTATGGGGTTTTGGGGTTTTGGGGTTTTGGGG